AATACATGAAAATAAAGAAAAAGTTAAAAATAAAGAGGCATACACCACTTAGTAAACTAATGAAACTCTCTTGTGAAGGACAGGGTTTGTCAGTGAGGGCAGATCATACTCTGATTCAATGGGCAGCCAGTCAACGAAATGGACCCACCTGCACAGTTGGAAATGGAGGGTGAAGATACTACTAATGTGTTCATGGGACCAGCAGTTAGCGTAATGGCTATGTTGCTGAACTCCCATGTAGCGGACCTGGTGGCCTAAACTCACACACTGGGCACATGTGCATGCGTGGCCATTCCTCCTGGGGGGAAACGATTTCTCCCTTTCTGTCTCTCTGTATCTCTCTTTCTGGCGAGCGCATGTGCCCTATAGCAAAAACCTCTCCAAAAAAAGATACTGCTGATGTGTTCCCTTAGCAGACCGGAGGGGTCTGCTCCCTTACTCCAGACCTCTGTTCTTACAGGGCAAGAATACATTCTCAGTTAGAAAACCACAATTTGGTTTCCCCTCACCCTGACTACTGCAGTATAGTTTTCTCTGCTCTTTCATTTTCCCTCCCCCATTCCCTTATTGTAATAAAATAACTGGTGTATGTGCACAAACATACTGCTTTTTTTTTTTTTTTAACTAAATGGCCAGTGGTATGTTTTGATTGACAGCATGGAGACAGGATCGGGAAAAATATTGGTTCTGTGAAAATGTCCCCTTTCTAGTGGCATGCCCATTCAGCATTTATCTTTATATTCCAGTAAGTTATTTGGCTCTCACTGTTTTAGCGAAAAAAGGAAAACAAAACAAAACATACCTTGCATACCTCATTTCATTGAAGAATTTTAATGATTTTCATTTATCATTGTAAAACCAAGGGCAATTTTATAACTTGTTTGTACAAAGCTGTTACATTTAGGGCTATCTGTCTTTAAGTAGGAGTAAATTACTCTTTTGTTTAAGAATTATTTTATTTAATTATATTCATTGTCATTATTTTATTTTATTTTATTTGGAATTGACCAGAGAGAGACAGAAAGAAGGAAAATGAGAAAGTAAGCTGCCAGGTCTGGGACTCAAACCGTGGTCAGTGCTGTGGCAGTCCAGCTACCTTAACCACCATACCACCTGCCGGCCCCAGTAGGAATAAATTACTCTTAAAGAAAAAAAAGGAGTCCTAGATAGTTCAAGTCAGGTGGCTTGTTGTTTAAATAAACTTCTTATTTAAAAAAACAAAAATAGAAAGTTTGTATTTCCTTTGAGTAACTTTGTTTCGTTTTTAAGAGAGAAATTTTTGCAATAGGGCGCATGCGCTTGCCAGAGAGATAGACAGAAAGCAAGAAATTGATGGCCACGCTGCAATCCTTTCTCTTCTGTTCTCATGAATGCACACATCCTTGGCATGAGTTTTAAGCCACCAGGTCCAGGACTCGAACCACAATCGACTATGTGGGAATACAGTGACGTAACCATTATGCCATCTGCTTGTCCCCAAGAGTACCTTTTTCTTTTATCATATATTTATGTGTCTATTTATTTGTTGTGCTTTTCGGGCTGCTGGGTCCAGGATTTGAACCATGGTTGGCCATGTGGGAGCCAGGGCCTCAACCACAATGCCACCTGCTGGCCCTGAGATGTATTTTCTTTAAAATGTTCTGTTTATTGCTCTTACTCATTTAGAAATTTGAGGAATTCATCCTTTCCTCATTGGTTTGTAAACGCACTTAAAATATGCTGACACGGGGAGACTCATAGGAGCCGGTATCTCAGAGCAGGGATCGAGGGCTAAATAGGACTTCGCTGAGTGGGCGAGGTGGGTGCTCTAGGCACAGGAATAGCATGTGCAGAGGTCCCGAGGTGACAGCTGTGTGAGAGGACTGTGTTAGCTTCCTCGGGCTGGGTGGAAGGAACAGGAGGTGGTGGGGTCCGTGGTCTGATGAGGACGAGTCCCACACACCTAGGGAAAGGTTGGCCCTGCAGAAATGCCAGGCTGTGCTGGGGTGGGAGCCACACCGCCTTCCCTGCTGTCCCTCCTGCACCACCCTTAGGAAATAATCTGGAGAATGCAGTTCTGTTCCTGTGAACCCTGGGAACCAGAGCGTTTGGGAGAGCCTGTGTGGCCTGCCAGAATCAGAACCTGGCTCTGGTCTGGGTCCATCATGGCTTCCTTTCCCCAGCCTTGATTCTGGGCACTAAGAACCTCCTGGAGGAGAGGTGACAGTTACATGGCGTCTCCATTTCCTCCTGAGCTTCTCCAAGTGGGTCGGTCACACTGACAGCCAGGCCCCGCACGGTGCCAGACCTGGCAGCCTGGGTGCTGCTGCTGCTGCCATGTGGGAGCCAGGGCCTCAACCACAATGCCACCTGCTGGCCCTGAGATGTATTTTCTTTAAAATGTTCTGTTTATTGCTCTTACTCATTTAGAAATTTGAGGAATTCATCCTTTCCTCATTGGTTTGTAAACGCACTTAAAATATGCTGACACGGGGAGACTCATAGGAGCCGGTATCTCAGAGCAGGGATCGAGGGCTAAATAGGACTTCGCTGAGTGGGCGAGGTGGGTGCTCTAGGCACAGGAATAGCATGTGCAGAGGTCCCGAGGTGACAGCTGTGTGAGAGGACTGTGTTAGCTTCCTCGGGCTGGGTGGAAGGAACAGGAGGTGGTGGGGTCCGTGGTCTGATGAGGACGAGTCCCACACACCTAGGGAAAGGTTGGCCCTGCAGAAATGCCAGGCTGTGCTGGGGTGGGAGCCACACCGCCTTCCCTGCTGTCCCTCCTGCACCACCCTTAGGAAATAATCTGGAGAATGCAGTTCTGTTCCTGTGAACCCTGGGAACCAGAGCGTTTGGGAGAGCCTGTGTGGCCTGCCAGAATCAGAACCTGGCTCTGGTCTGGGTCCATCATGGCTTCCTTTCCCCAGCCTTGATTCTGGGCACTAAGAACCTCCTGGAGGAGAGGTGACAGTTACATGGCGTCTCCATTTCCTCCTGAGCTTCTCCAAGTGGGTCGGTCACACTGACAGCCAGGCCCCGCACGGTGCCAGACCTGGCAGCCTGGGTGCTGCTGCTGCTCTGTCTCCTGCCCCTGGAAATACCGAGTGCTCACCTGCTGCCAGCCTTGGTTGTGGGCCCCAGTTCCCAGCTGGCGGCACACACTGTCACAGGGGCTGGGTGTCACTGGGCCCTGTGGCTCTCTGCATGCATACTGGTCTTGGGAAAAGCAGCCCCCCTGTTCCTTGATAGCTTAATGGGCCATCAGCTCAGGGACTGGGAGGCTGTCGGCAGGAGCAGGTGCCGTGAGCCTGGGGGAAGCCCGTGGCTGCCAACAGTCCAGATTGGACTGATCATGGCCAGGCCAGGTGGCCTGGTGACCCGTTGACACCATTCTCAGGCTGCTGGCTGCCCGTGGGCTGGTGTGTTGTGACAGAGGAGGAGGAGCCAGGGCGCTCCTGGGGAACTTGACTAGAAGGGCCGGCTCAGCGCTCAGCCCTCAGCCCTCAGAGCCGACGGACGGTGCATTCCTCTGCTCACTCGTTTCTTCTGCTCACTCTTAGCCAGAGCTGCCACTGCTGGCTGCTGCGGGCCGGGTGCAGAGCAGTGATGGTCACCCACAGCTCCCACCCCAGCAGCTCAGACACAGAAGGGCAGGGCTGATGCTGTTGGGGGCCATTGCTGTAGGCGTTCTGATCAGGGACCCTGGGGAGGATCACCTGGAGGAAGTGACCTCTGAGCAGACGGTAGGACAGGCCCCGCCAGCCTTCTCCATCAGGCTGGGCAGGATCCCAAGATGCCTGGCCCAGAGCCTCCTACCCAGAAGGTGCCCAGTGTATTTAACAAGTGAAAGTAGCCGCGGGGCAGCCCTGTCTGAGGGAGACCAGTGCTGACCCTAGGGCCACTGCAGAGACCAGGGGGACTGTCCTGTGACTTCTGTGACTCCAGTGCCCACTCTGGTGCCAGCTCCCCTTGGTCTCCATACACGTGCTGAGTCGTAGCCCTGCTTGGGGATGAATGAGTATGAGAGGGGCCTTCACCCCTTGGGGCCGTGGTCCCAGTCTCAAGAGACCGGAGGCCAGCCCCCTGGAAGCAGCGCGGCCTGCACTCCATCCTGGTCGGGCAGTCAGGGCTGGTGGAAGCAAACAGACACAGGTGGGGTGAGGAATGGGGGTGTGGGAGGGCCCCTCTCTCTGTTGTAGGAGAGACCCCAGCTGGCCAGTGGGATTTGCCGTGATGCCTTTTGGAGGCTACTCCTAACCCTTCCAGTACCAAGCCCAGAGGTGCTGCCCTGCACCCATCAGCCCAGCCTGGAGTCCTTAGGAGTGGGGCGTCTGTGTGTGGGCCCTGAGGTCCCCCCAGCAGTGCAGGCAGCACCAAGGGGGTTAATGCAGCTCCACTTTCCGTCCCTCCTCCTCTGAAGGAAGCCTGCATTGAAAGGATAGAAATAAGCGCTGGCTTTTGAGGAGTCGGCTGTTCACTGTGTCCCTGCCAGGCCTGAGCACAGCCTCCTGCCCACGCTCTGCCTGCCTCAGGCTCTGTCCTGCATGCAGGGCCTTGTATGGAGGGGTGAGGGCTCCCTCGGTGCACATTCTCACTCCCACCCCAAAACCTGCCCTGGCCGCCTGGAGGGACTGGGTTCAGTGTACAAATGGTACCCAAGGAGGAGGGCCTCAGGAAGTGACATCGCTGCCCCCCCCTTCCCTATAAAAAGCAAAATGGTGACTCAGAGAGGAGAGTTGGAAGCGTCCTGCCTCCTGCTCCCACTGTTAATTTTTAGACTTGGAATTAGGCAGGAGGCAAAGGAACCAGCAGCTCGAAAGACACGCTGACATGCTATTAAGCGGGTGGCAGCAGCAGAACCGCCCCTCCCCGACTCTCGGCCGCCTCTGAACGTGCCCAGCCTTCCTGCTGGCGCTCACGGCCCCTCGCAGCCGGGGGCCGCCGGCGGCGCCCGCTGCGCTATCAGTCCCTGGCAGCCCTCGTGGAAGACTCTCAGTGGCCTTTCTTGTTCCTTGTCTCAGACTTCAGCTACGGGGCAGACGACTACGACGCAGAGGGGAATGAGGAGCAGAAGGGGCCCCCCGAGGGCTCAGAGACCATGCCGTACATCGACGAGTCGCCCACCATGTCACCCCAGCTCAGCGCCCGCAGCCAGGGCGGCGGGGACAACATCTCCCCCACCCCACCGGAGGGACTGGCACCTGGGGTAGGTACACCTGCTTTTCCTTCTGGGAAACCCTCTGGGTTGGGAGGAGGGGACTTTTGGGAAGAGGTGATGGGGGCATGAGTGTCATGGGCTAGGCTCTGCTTAGGATGATGCCGAGGGAGTGGGACTTGGGGGACATTTGAACATGGCTGTTCTTGAGGGTCCTTGTCATCTTGCAGTCCTGGGCCCCTCTCAGGCTCAGGGTCCCCTCCCCCCACCTGCTGCCATCTACCACCCCTGCACGTGGTTCTCCTCCTCTACCAGCATCTGCTCCCATGCCTCCTGGACACCCTCACCTCCTTGGCTAGCTTTCCCTTCCGGTCCTTCTCCGGGCTGGGACTGGGCTCTCCTGTCTGCACCCAGGCTGGGCAGTGTGTGCATATGTGACTGTGGGCTAAAAAGGTGCAGATGTGGCCCCAGGGAAGCCCAGGCTGGCCTTGGTGGTCCCAAGGGCTGGAATGGACTGCTTCTGGAGCATCTCTGAGGTCTGAGGCCCCCTTCACCCCCTCTGGGAGGGAATCAGCCGAGGGTGTCCACGAGATGCGAGTTCTGCTCCAAAGAGAAGCATTTGATAAGGAATATTAAGCGTGCTCTGAGGCACGCGGGGAGATAGACATGTGTGGAGGGTTTGCATCCTCGTAATGAATGCTGTTCCTGGCAACAGAAACTGTCAGGGCCCAGCTTGTGTACATGTGTCTGCGACAGGAACAAGCAGGACAGAGTCCCGAGGGCTGCTTCTCTGGAGTTGGGGAGAGAAGAACCCAAGCCCCTCT